CAAGGATAAAACTAGTATTCAGAGGAGATAACACTGGGCGTAGAACAGAGGGAAGGGCTACGAGATGAAGAGTGAGCACACGAGTGTCCACAGATCCACCGCTATAGGCTATCTAGCTATAGGAGGAATGGAAAAGAAGAGATTGCTGACGAAAATGGATCTTTTGTCACTTTAAAGTTGCAAAATTGGTACATCACCTCGTACTGCGGACCGCGCCTTGTTTCGCCAGCATGTCGAATATAATAGGCCTCTTGTGAAGATACGTGAGATCGCCTGCATGGTGGATCCCTTCCTAGCGGGTAAGTCCGTAGGTGTGGCATTCGGGCCACGTCTGATACGAGTTCTTTACGGTATAGGTTGCACTTGAGCGCTGACTGGGAGGGTCAGTCTTTATGTAGTGGATAGCGCTGCGATATCCTAATTCAGAGCAGAGAGATTGGCTGAAGGAAGAAGGGGAGTCCGAAGGTGATAGCGAGCAATCGCATGGGTTCTGAAGTAAAAATAATAAAACGTTTCCAGGAATCCCAAATGAGGTCAATGATAAGAAGGGTAGGAGGAACGGCTCCCAAATAAAACAAGCAGAATGCGAATGCGATATTCGTGTTCAGAATTCAAACTGTCTTCAAGAGCAAACCTATGGTCAAATATACCTTCAGAAAAAACCGAAAAAAGTGGTCTGGTTTGGAAAGGTTGGGGCAATTGAGTATGAATGTTACCGGTTTCTTTCCTTAGCTCAGGTCAGGGTCCGTAGCTGTGGAACTGTAGCGCATTTGATGTCTGAAAGAATTGAGAGGCTTTTGGACAGCCTAATGTTCATCACGTCTGCACCATTTGTTACAATCGTCATCCGGGCACTTGATTAGGCAGTCTCGACGCGGCTGCAGCGCGTCACGACCGCGGCGATCAGCTGTTTCCGACCTAATTTGGCCATTTTCTCCCTAACTTTCAGCGTATTTTCTACTTTTTCTCTTAAGGTAAGTTGTTTTATTGCTTTTTGAAGTGTCCTAGGATGTGAACTCTTTTCTTTTTTACAATAGTGTTTTGCGATTTTTTTTCAGGTATTTATTCAATTGTCTGCTCAACTGTTTAATGTACGCAAAAATCAGAGGAATCTCAATCATAATTTACCTTGTGAAGACAAGGAACAACTAATCTTGAGAAAAGCAGCCAAAACAGTGTAAATTAGGGAGAAATGGCTAAAATAGGCTGGAAACAGCTGATCGCCGCGCTCGTGACACGCCGCAGCCGCGTCGCGAGCCCTTGGCCGCCTAATCAAGTGCCCGGATGACGACTGTGCGTGACGAGCAAGCCACAGATACGCAACACGCCACACGATCATTCAGACGCCTAGATATAACCAAGCGCGCCAGTTGTCTGAGTCCTTTCACGTACGGACTCCCACACAGGACGTCGAACGAACAAAAGGCTCAGAAACCTGTGCTTTTACTGTGCAGGCTGTTTTGACGATTTGAGAGAATTCCCTTTCAGCTCTAAACTTATTCCACATGATATTGTTGGGTACTGCTATCTTGCCGTGTTTAGTGGTCGTCGGTCTCGGAATCTTCCATATGTACTATTATAGAACGTAAAATCAACAATTATACTTAGCCTTCATACAGTTTCTCCTGAGATTAAGCCCTTCCCTTCAGACGCACTCGGAACGAAGAAGTTCGCTCAGCTATTTACTTCGTCATATTGATGCCACCGGTAGGTTTTTGACCAGTTTAACCCAGTTCCGTGGCATAGCTACATGAACTCAGAGACTTCTTCGTTAGATGACATTTGTCAAAATGAAAGGAGTTGTTGGATCGTCCGCAACGTAGGGTCCGTAGAACCATTGCGACCTCGATAGCACCGTACTCGAAAAACCTTGACAGGCTGCTCAGCGGCCGAGCATCCTGCTGCTATGAATAGCGGGCATTTCCCAAGCTTTCGATCGCCTATACACTTTCATCGCCAATTATACTTATTCTATTCGAGGTAACGGTTGCTGGAGCCATAGTGGGAATGTGTATCCCTCGTGCAGCAGGATTTCTTTATGCCGTTACAACGACGTGAGTATTAGGCATTACTATCACTATCCAATACATCTAAAGTGTTTAGCTTCTCCGATACATCTAAGTGTTTGGGAATATGGATTCCACAGTTTTTACTATTTAAGGTACTACATGTTAGCCTTGTATATGATCGTCGACTTAATGTTTACCATGTTCTGCGGCAGGAGGGCCTTATCGCGATACCTTCGAGAGGTACTGTAATCAGTACAGTCCATTGCAACGCATATATGATAACTAAAGTTTTAGCTCATTCGTTTGTACCCCCCCACCCAGACATGGTGTAAAGGCTAGAGGTTTCAGCTGCTACGCGCTTGCTCCCAAGCCAAATCTCGTACATACAAGTCGTATTCAAAAAAACTACGAGGAATTACTGGAGATAGAATTCGTGGCGTATACCAAAAAGGATTGCTCAGCGCTCAAAACTTTGCTTTTCGCCCATTTATCCTAGCCCCACTTTAACATTTACTGAGGTCCTAAGTGGTACAAAGATTTTCTCGACCCAGTTTTCTTTACAACAACTATCTTTGAGCAAAACCCGGCCATTCATAAAAAAATATTTGAACACACCTTAACACTCCTCCTCAAGGTAGGTATATGACGAACGCCAAGGTAATGAAGCTTGCTTTACAGCACTATCAAGTCACTTTTTCAGAAATCAATGAACGTGAAACTCAAGAAGCCCTCGTTCGTTAAATTCCTCAAATGCATTCCTGATAGAGAATTGAGACCATCAATGTATGTGAAATCATTGATTATCCTGTGAACTCGCATTTTCATGTCGTTAAAGGAACAGTCAGTGATGACCTATGAAAATGCAGAAGACATTATGGGAAGGTAGCGTCGTCCGCAGTGAACAGCCCTGTGCCAGTTTTACGGCCGAAAGTTGTAAGCTGTAGGAGTTATGCTGCCAGATTGCTTCAGCGGCACCTCCCTTTTTCCAGTGACCCCGCCTCCAGACCCGCCTCCAAAGCCTGCCTTCCAGCTAAAAGCGATGCTACCGGACAAGTAGCACGAAATGGATGCTACATTGTCTCTTGTGGGGTCATAGGGTTCATTACAAGGAGTCGGCAAACTGAAGTCGCCCCAGCAAGCGGTTTTTTGGCATTTCACCCGTGCAATTGTTTGAGGCATAAAGGACCATATCAAAGGTGTTTTCGCCCTTTCGCCGTTTCCTTTGGCATTTTCTATTCATGGACGAGTCACCCGGCAACTTCCCCTCCACATTTCGCCGCCAACACCTACGCTCCTTATCTCGGACCGTGTCTTTAAGTTTATTCAGTTCGAAGTTAGTAGCAGCCACTAGAGATGAACATGTGGCCAGTGTAGGGGATGAGATGGAGGGAGGGAGGAGAAGTGTTACGATGCTTTGTGCCCCTCGTCCCCCTCTCGCAGAAAGATAGTCTGGAATGACTATACGGGGGGGGGGCAAGAAAAGGCCACTTTTCTTCCTTGAATTTCAAGATGGTATAAGTTACACTTTATTAAATGATTGTACATTTTCACCATCAAATTCAACAACGCATTGTACACGATCACGAAACTCCGACAGCCTTCTGGACGAACGCCATCGAGAGATTCTGCCACGCGACCGTGATTCGGTGCCTGAGTTCAGCGAGGTCGTTGATTTCTCCGCCACTGTAGACCACCCTGCTTTTCCCAGACCCGGTGATCGAGGGTGTTCAAGTCAGGAGACAAACTTGAATATTACGTCTTCTTCAGGTTCTCACCGCCCTTCGATTCCATGTGCTGGCACTCCAATCCTGTAGCAGTACGAAGTTTTCATGACGCTAATAGCGTGGAGTGAGCCGACAGATGTTCTCCTCGAGTTGGTCGATGTAACCGTCAGCGTTCACTTTCAGTCCGGGGTCCACGAAGAAAATATCGGTCTTCCCATTCCAGGAACTTCCGGTCCATACCATCAACCCGCGCCTTGGCGACTGCGGTGAAGATGATATCCTGGACCGTAGCGACGTTGTCGGAGCTGCTCGATGTTGGAGGTCATCCAGATCGAGAGTACTGGTCTCCAGGTAGCTATCCATGGGTGACTCCATACTAGAAGTTTCGCAGCTGTTTGGAGGTGACATGAATTCCAAAGGTCTTCTCCAGTCAGGCTGCGACTGAGATGACTTCATGGTGTACATGAAGGTGATGGGCGAGAGCCAGCTCCTGCTTATCGAGGAACATCTTGGGTATCTTCCGCCCTGGTGTATCCATGTCTTCTGTCTGGGCTGCGTAAACTTTACTGATATGTGACTAATATACAGCAGGGGCCAAAGTCTCTTCTTTTGGCCCCTGCTGTATATTAGTGATATTTGTTCATATACGCTACTGCGCGAATATAGACGGGACCACATCAGAGCTCTCTCGAACACTACCTTGGAGAGAGGGCGCAGATGAGCAGATTGACATTACGCTCATGCAGGTAGGGTTGGGAGCAATATTAGGATTACCTGAGAGGTAGAATCGAATTGTAAGATGGATATTCCCAGTGAGCATGGTACCAAAACAATGACGTCATTGCACCAATACAAATTTTTTTGGCTTGTTTTTTAGAAGACAATTTTTCAGGGAGAATGCTAAGAATAGAAGCCTTAATTATTCAAACGGTATTTGTGCGAATACTAATGCAAATATGCGAATTAGTCGTTTACTTCGAGCTAAGAAAAAAAAGTAATATGTAGGTTTCAATTCTGTTCCATTTCTTTCAACTTTGTCAATTTTACCCGGTATAGGTATACTTCAAATCGCTGAGGTGGCTCTCAAAGGGGAGAGGGTTAGGTCGCAGGGGAGTCGTCTTTCAGAAAAAAAATTTTATTTTATAAAAATTCTAAGCACGTGTTGTAGTTTCCCCTTTCCCCCATCGCGTGTTCCCTAATCGGCAGCAAAATTCCGGGGAAGTTTGGTGATTTAGGTGGTCTGATAGCAAAGTGCGTCGTATCGGAAAAGAAAATTCGGAACTTTGGGGAGGGGAAGGAGGGCGGTGGTACTCAGCAAATGTTTTCCACAACGGCACGACGTGTCCTGACTGTAAGTGCAACTTGCAGGACTTCCATCCAAAATTTTTTACAGATTCTTCACGGCGACTAACATAATAACCGTTGTTTCAATGAACATTTCCCAGTACTTCGGACACGCTTTGGTGGATACTGTAAAGGTATGTCTGAAACAATCTGCTTACATACTAAATACTATATCTCAGGAAATCGCTCTCTGTTACTTCCCTTATCCCTGAGATGGAGTAGGCGTGGCATTGAACATGGCATAGAACAGGTTACTCGTGGAATATTTCAACTTGAGACAACTGTCATCTTGTTCTGTGTTGACAAAGACATGATTACGACTGTTCCAAAATGAAAATATCTCACGAAAACCTTGGCCGCCGCCACGTTCAATTCAAGTACGCAGCCACGCCTACCGTATCTCAGGGATTTTGAGTGTACTTGGAGACAAATCCAATGATAATAAAACATGAATAGTGGGAATTACTTAAGTTTTTAAATGCAGATGCAAGGTAGACAGTCAAGCTTACAAAACCAAAGGAAGCAGCCAAAAACGTAAAATTATAGCCTCATTTTTAACGAGGCGTGGGTCTCTTGTGATGTATTGGGCGTCTTTCGCCCTGTGCTTTGACCTTCCTGGGTCGTGCTAGTTGCCATGTGTGGGAAGTTTGAATCCACAGCTGCAGAAACGTGCCACATTCTCCGGAAAGCATTTTGAGCGGAGGAAGTTGAGCGCTACTGCAGCTGCGGACCGAACCGCTTCACACACGACAAGGATCATCCTTGGAGGTGAGTGTGCAGCTTTTTTTCAAAGCATAATGAAGAAAGGCATGAAGTAGAGACGCCAGGAACACCGGCATTCGTCCCATTACCACCTGTGTGGTGTTATTAGGAGCCTGTAGCTACACAACAGCAAATCCAAGATGGGTCGTGGGCGTGTAGCCCATTCGGAGCAAAACACCACCAGCTGGTCAAAGGCAAGATGGGTAAAGCACGAGCCGACCGCTTCGGATTGGCGTGCCACGCATCGGTAGTCCTTGTCAGGCGTGAGCCACCTCTCAGGCAGGGTAGCCTCCAAGTGGCTGGCCACGTCTCAAACACCTCCCTTAGATGTTATGCTGAAATGACGTCGTGGTACGTGGGGAAACTCCTCAGAAGAAGAACGAGTTCAGGCGAATGGTGGAAG